GGGGGGGGGGGGGGGGGGGGGGGGGGGGGGGGGGGGGGGCAGCTGTACAGCCGGCCAGCTAGTGGGGGGCTTCAGGAGGTCACCCCGCACCACCTGCCCCTCGCAGGCCTGCAGCCACGAGCAAACAGCACTCCACCTGGCCTTCCGTCCTGCAGGCCTGGAGGTTGGGTGCCCAGGAACCCACCCACTCCGCCTTCTCCCTGGTGCTGGGCCAGCGCTCCAGCTGCTGTGCTTGCCTGCCCTCTGGTGGCAGGATCTGGAAACGCTTTGCCATTGCTTGACAAGCTCCCCTCCCCACAGCACTGCTAATGGAAACTGGGTACATCGGTTGGGCACCTACTATGCACCAGGGGCTGAACTGGGGATCAAAAGAGAAGGGTGTGTGTCTAACTACTTAAAAGTTATAAATCGAGCTCACGAACCAGATTGCACAAGGACTGCAGCGTCCACCTCCATCTCTCGGACCTCTCACCTGACTTCACAGGTGAGGAGAACGATGCTGAGAGGGGACTTGCCAGGTAAAAGGGAGACCAGGGCTCAACCCCTCACTGATTTCCTGGCTCTGAGAGGGGAAAGGCAGCATCCGGGGCAGCAGATGTGGCCGACTGTCCGAGATCGAGTCCGGCTGTGCCACTCCCCGCTGTGCAGCCTTGGGCTGGTGGATGAACCTCTCTGTGTGTGCGCCTCCGCTTCTGTAACATGATGGCAATGACGCCCACCTCACAGAGCTGCCGCTGGGCTAGCTGAGAGCAGCACCTGGCGCCAGGAAGCCCGATGCGTGTTAGCTGTTGCTCACTGCCTTCCACAGGCTCCCCCAGGTGCCGGGGACGGGGCCTTCCCTGGGAGACGCCCTGGGCTCCTGATATAGCGCTGCAGGTTGTTTTTTATTTAAATACTAGAGGCCTGGTGCATGAAATTCGTACACTCGGGGTGTGGGGAGGGTCCCTCAGCCCAGCCTGTGCCCTCTCACAGTCCGGGAGCCCTCCGGGGATGTCCGACTGACGGCTTAGGCCTGCTCCCCACGTCACTAGGACTAGGACATCCTTAGCGCTGCCACGAAGGCGGGAGAGGCACCCGCCACTGCCACTGTGCTTGCCAGCCGTGAACCGGCTTCTGGCTGAGCAGTGTTCTCCCTGTGGGAGCACACTGACCACCAGGGGGCAGCTCCTGCATTGAGCGTCTGCCCCGTGGTGGTCAGTGCGCGTCATAGCGACCGGCCATTCTGCCATATGGTCGATTTGCATGTTAGCCTCTTATTATATAGGATTGTTTAAATGTTTTTATTGCTTCCAGAAAGAGGACGAGGGAGGGAGAGAGACAAATAGAAACATCAGT